CCTGCAAAGCACCTCCTGCAGAAGAATTTGTCAGGCCGAAACGGAAAACTACTTTTTTCCCACCTTTTATAATTTTTTAAAAAATAATTGTATTGTAAGCACATGGCGCTTCAATAGCTTCAGCCACTCAGGAATAGCGGCTGCCAGTTGCAAGATTCGGCAGACGGCAGCTGAATGTAAATACAGCAGGTAGTGGGCAGGTGCAATAGCCAGCCTGCTATAGGCCATTTCAAATTGCAACAGCCAATAGCAGACTGGCTCTTACACCCGCCCACTGTTTGCTGTACCCTCCTCCCAGCGTCGAGGAGAGAGCAAGGGGATCCAACTAACTCATCGATAATGAGAATAGTTGGCAACGATTCTCATATTCAATTGATTAATCGATTCGTTGGTTGCAGCCCTATGTCTCTCATTGTGACAATAGAGAAAATAGGATGATGTTCTTACTGCAAAATCCTTTTCAAAGAGTCCATTGAGGGACACAGCTCTGAAGAATTCTGAGATGCTGCTTCTAGGAGAAATAGAAAAAGTGGCATAACCTATGTCTCAGAATTCTTCCGAGCTGTGTCCCTCAATGGACAATAGAGAAAAATATGGTTTACTTCTGTATAAAAAAAAATAATTAGTAAATAAGGGTTAAAAATACAGATTTTCTTTTTGTTTTCATGGCCATGTGACTGCTTTCTGCTATGTGTGTTGATTGGAGCGGTTACTTGCAAAGGCAACGCAGTGGGGGCGGAACACACAGTAATGAAGGTTATCAAGTGCTTGTACATTGATATACGAAGTTTGTTTTGGGGTTTACCTACCCCAGGGGTGTACAAATTAATAATGAATTCAGGGGCCACTCAGTGTAATCCAGGAGCCCGCTCTATTGGCGACAACTAGAGAAAACCTCAACAGTTTGCTGCAAACTGTCATTTTTAAGGAGCATTGGCAACCTGGCACCTGGGATTTGTCCAGCAATGACCTACACTTTAAACCCTTGGTTCTCAACTGGTGGGTCTGTTTTGCTTGACCCAAAAGTGGGTCGCGACTCTGTGTTCAGTGGGTCACCACGTGTCTTCCACTTTTCTAGGCGAGAGGCTCCTGTGCATTGTCTATTCTCACGCCAAGCAGCCATTCAAAATATGCTGCCCGGCGCCGAGGTGGGATGGGGCTATGGCCGCAAGGGAGCTCCAGCCATACATGCATTACTTACAGCTCCCTCGCATGTCCTGTAGAGGTGCCTGGAGTGACATCTCATACTGGCTCCCGGAACCTTTACAGCAAGGGAGCTGCACCTGCAATGCACATATGGATGGAGCTCCGTTACAGCACAGCAGCCCACACTGGACCCCAGGCTGAGGATCCACTTTAGTTCTCGTAAGGTAGGGAGACTGGATGGACCTTAAAAAAAAAAAAAAAAAATTTTAGTGTGTATGTGAATGTCTGTGAGTGTGTAAGATTGTGACTGAGGGTGTGTATGTGAATGTCAGTGTTTTTGAGGGCTCGTTCACATTAGTACAGTGTAATAGTACCGTGTGATTAACGCACTGTATCACGCAATCACACCTACGGCGCCTTCTGGTGGAGGAGGTGTGTTGTGTTGCCATTCATTTGAATGGTACCCCAAATGCACCTCCCACAGTTCGTACGTCCGCACCACAATGCGCGGTACCCTAATGCTGTGCCTTCCATTGCAGTGCGACTTGGGCCGCGACTTAATGACCAAGGACAAATGTGGCTCCTGAGATTACACAGGTTGGGAACCACTGACTTAAACGTTTAAAATGCCTGATAAGTTTACTTTAAGAAAATAAAGCTGCCGGGAGATACAAGATGATTGACACAAAATAACCATTCTGGGCACTGGAGTCTACAATACAACCTGCACATAAACCCTGGATAATGTAAAGCGGCACTTGTGCTGTGGAGCAGACAGGTCAGCAATGTACTGCGGTCAGCAGGATTTCCAGGTTATTCAGGCACGGGGCCACTGACAGCAGGCTGAGATCTGTTAGATTTGTGGGTAGCCGGCAGGGCCTGGTGTCAGTTTATAGATTACCGGATTCAGTTGGAGTTCGGTGCTCAAAATGAGAGGAATAAATTGTGCAAAGAGGGGGCACTAAAATGGTTTAAGGTTCTTATGATGTAGATAAATCAGCTCGCATTTAAATGCCTAACGTGATTAATGTTCAGAGGAGAGCAGAGAGGGCACAACTGAAAGACTTAGCAGAGATTTAAGAAACAGCCAGAAGAAAATCTAACTCAGAACAAAGAAGTTTCCAAGGCAAAGCACAAAACTTCTTTACCGATATTCACCTGATGTGCACGGAGGAATAAATGTCAGTCTCTTTCAAACAAAATGATATCTCCTATGAAGGCATGACCACATTCAAATGATCACTAAACTTAAAACGCTTCGACTAGGCGACGCGGCATTTCGTTACATTACAGGAAATCATGATTAAAATAATTCTGCCATTGAAGAAATTAGGGATGCACTGAGGCCGGTATCGAGTACGAGTACAGATATTTCTTTTTTCGGTACTAGCCGATACTGAATACCGGAACTCCCATTCAGGAAGCCAGGCGGCGTGTAAAGACTTGCCACCCGGCTTCCCGATTGGCAGGGAAGCTGTCCCCATGCTTCTCATCACTAGGTGACAAGAAAGCATGCAGCTGGCTTTCTGGCCAATCATATAGCCAGCTACCCGACCAATCAGAAAGCTGGGTGCCGCGTCATTACACAGCGCCTAAACAGCAAAAAGTTTTCCCGACACACTCACCAGCCAGCATGCAAAAAAAACTTGCCTCACTTGTCATTACACAGCGCCTGGTTTCCTGATTGGCCAGCTTCAGACCAATCAATGACGCACTGCCCGGCTTCCTGATACCGGAAGTATCGGGCTAAGCATTGGAACATTTGGGTGAGTACTTGCCCAAATACTTGGCATCGACACCGATACTAGTATCGGTGCATCCCTAGAAAAAATACCTAGCCTGCTATTGCTGACCTTCTAAAAAATGCACCTTGCCTGGCTGTGTAGGTCATGCATGCAGATTATGACCAGCTTTTAACAGAGAGAAGGAGGAACAAGTGTGAGTCAATCGAGCTATAGTGAATTACAAATAAAAACTCTGGGAGCTTGCTTATAGGAGGGAGGCTACACAGATTCAGGGGCGAGCGATTCCTATCACCCGACACCCAGGACATGCAGTTCTATGCGCCGGGCAAGCAAGGGAACATTTTTGGTACAACTGATCTGGGAGGCTGTACAGCTGCCCAGATCACTTGTAGCAGCCTGCTTGTTCACACCCCACCTGAGACAGAAATGCTGTACCCACACCGCTTCCTGTCTCATTTGTCACAAGGCGGGCTGCACAGGAGATAAAAAACAATGCAGTGCACGAGTGTGTGCCCCAGAAGGAGCCCCTGTGTGATAGCAATAAAGTTGAGCGGAAAAAAAAAATAAAACATTGATAAAAAAATAATAAAATAAATTAAAAAAATTTAAATTAAAACCAACCTTGCCGCCCCCGCCATCTGCATGTGAATAAACACACGCGTAGGGCATTGTATGCGTGTGTGACCTGAGTGTTGCCCCCATTCCACTGTGTGCCATATTGTGGTAGCCGTGCAACAGCACTCTTTAACACGCACAATGTGCATTAAAGGGTAAGTTCTTTCCCACGTAATTTGGGAAAATGGAATTACCCGCTAAAATCCCCCGCTATACTTACCATTCCGTGAACAGTCCTTCCCCTCTGCCGTTATAGGTGTAATATCTGTAGCCCTTACAGTCGTCCAGCGCAGCCCTGTGCTATGGATTTTGAACTTTGCTCGCAAATTGTAAGTGTTCATTGATCAGCAAGGTCACCTGAGATGACCTCATTGATGTTTTACTGTTACTTCATTATCCAGTTATCAGGCTGGGGGAAGGGAGGTCACTAAGAAAGGAGAACTTTAGCAACTATCTATTCCATCCATCGTCAAATATACCACCACGAAGAACAAGGGTGATGAGCTGTGGAGGACAATAGTTGTGGAGGACAGTGATGCTGAAAATAAACGTGGGGAACAAAGCTGAGATTAGGAAGATTTACTGGGGAGTTTCTCATTAGGACCATCACTCTAATAAGATTAAACATCAATGAGCTTGGAGTTCTAGTGATGTTCTGAGCAACTGAATACTAGTTAGACCTGGAACACCTTAGCCTCACCTTACAATGCAGGCATGGTGATAAATGAGCAGCATGGAAACATACAGGAGTAGAGCAGACCTTAAAGGATATCGATAATTGTAATAAATATGAGCCTACATGCCCCCCTTACCCTCCCCATGCCATCAACAGTTCCCATTACAGCTTACAGATCAGCAAACACCCAACGGTCATGTTCTATAGCAAGCCTAACACTACTTTAGTGTGTATGGAGAAAAATCCATGTATGCATAGTATGTCGTATCCCCGTTGGATTAGTGGAGAGGGTTGAAGAGCTGACCAACCCCATGTAGGACATGACTCTAGGACGAGCTGCCTGCTGATATGAGGTTTGTAGTGGGAACTACTTAATTTTCAATACAAGTATCAGTATTCTTTAACCCCTTCATGACTGAGGCCTTTTTTTCATTTTTTGCACCCATGTTATATTCCACATTTTAGCCCTGAAAATTACTTAAAACCCCCCAACATTATATATTTTCTGAATGCCAAGACCCTATAAAGTACTTACCTTCCCTTTCCTCCTACCTTGTAAGAGCAAACCCCAACTGTGCAAAGTTAATTAAGACTGGAAAAGAGAATCTTACAGGCTCAGTAGCATGGGCTAGCATAGCTCAGAGCTCGGGGTGAGTATAACTTTTTGATTTCTGAACCTAGATAAAATCAAATACTTAACCCTTGCAGTGCAGGGGGTAGGTTAATAAAACATTTTCCTGGAGTTCTTCTTTAACCAAACTGGCATGAGGATGAGTGTGTGCTTTTATGTCGTTGATAAGCTCAGTTCAGTGACTTACCACTGCCCAGTCGAAGCAGTAGCACATCCTGGAGTCTTCTGTTCAGGACCCGAAGCTCCTTTACCTCCGTCACTAACGTCCCATAATCTTTCAGCTTTTTTGCCTGCTGAACCAGCTGCCTCCGAGTCCTTTCCAGCTCATGCTGTATGTGTCTCATTTCCACTTGTTGCTGCTGGTAACTCCTAAGCAATTCCTCATACAGGACTCGAGGAACCAAAGCTTCATCCAATCTGTCCATGTGTGCCGTCACATGACACGGGTCCATGAATGTCTCATCACAGCTCGAGTTGTGACTCTGTCCAACTCCATTCTGTTTCTCAAGACGGGCCACGACGGCTTCAATGCTCTTTCGAGTTCCTTCCACGTGCTTCCGTCCGTCTGGTCTCTACATAAGAAAAGGTTATTTCAGACATTGTTTCTGTTGTGAGAAGAAAGCATGTTAGTAGGAGTTAACTAAGGTATCTGTGGGGTAGCCTCAGTCACCCTGATCCTCTACCATGTAGAGCCTTGGCTCTCAACTGGTGGGTCGTGAACCCAAAAGTGGGTCGCGACCCTTCATTGGGTCATGTTCATTCATTGGGTGCCTTCCATTGCAGTGCGACCTGGGTCACGACTTAATGACCAGGGACAAATGTGGGTCCTGAGGTCACACAGGTTGAGAACCACTGAAGTAGAGGATCGAGGCGACAGCCTTTTTGGAAAATTGGGAGCCAGCTACACTCCCATTACATAATGTCAGGCATGTGTCATATGATTCAGGCTACTCTCAATCCAAAGCCATGATTTCACACAGTAAGAGGAAGTAGATATGTATCACGAGGTGAAGAAAGACTGATTGTTACACATAGTTTGCGGGTCAAAGAAGAATAGGGATGCGCGGATACCGTTTTTTCGGTATTGAGTACAAGTACCAAAAAATGTTTCCGGTTCTCACCGATATCGAATACAGATACCAGAAGTCCAGGCGGCACATAGTGACTCGCCATCCAGCTCCCCGATTAGCCAGGAAGCCATCTCCATGCTCCCTCATCACCGGGTGACAAGGAAGCATGGAGCCGGCTTTCTGGCCAATCAGGAAGCCGAGGGGTGCGGGTAAATACTAACCGCCTGGCTTCCTGATTGGCCGGGAAGCTGGCTCCATACTATCTCGTCACAAGGTGACGAGGAAGCATGAAGTCTGCTTTCTGGCCAATCAGGAAGCTGGGCGGGTAGTCAATACACGTTGCCCGGCTTCCTGATTGGCTGGAAAGCTGGCTCTATGCATTCCTGGCCAATCAGGAACGAGGCAGCTTGTAATGATTCACTGCCCGGCTTCCAGATACTGGAAGTTCCGGTATCGGGATAGGCATCGGGAGCATTTGGGCAAGCACGAGTACTAGTATCGGTGCATCCCTAAAAAAGAAGACCAGGGCACCTGAGATTAAAGCAAACCTGCGCTTTGTTCATGTAGGTTTGCTTTAATGCCCTCCAGAGGCAACACATACCTCACCTTCAGGTTCACATCATTGTGGCCCCGTGCTGTCTCGGTCAACCACAGAGAGCAATGAAAAATACTTTGAGCATCAGGTGCATGTGACACCCTTCCTCCCATAATGCAGTGCTGGGTGTCTTAATGACCAATCAACAGACACCAGTGCTTTCACATGTGGGCAGGTAGTAAGTCATTAGCTTTGTATGGTATGTGTTGTTTGTATTGCTTTGTATGTATGTCAAGGTCAGAGCTCATACAGACAGATCAGAGCTCATGCTCCCGCAGATGAGCAAGGGAGCAAAGAAAAAATAAGTGTACACAGCTATGGGAGGCATCAGTCGAGAGGACATGTGGTTCCCTTAATGAGACACTTAATGAGACACTGTCACTTTGCCTAATCATGAAAAAGGAACAATGTCTACACATGGGGGAGGTCACTTGCTACCCCATAGCCAAAGGCCCAGCTCCCTTGATGAGGGTTCTGGTGGTGCAAGGAGGCGACGTAGAAAAGTGGCTAGTTACCTGCAAGGGGAAAAGGCTGAGTGGGCAAAGTGACAGTGTCTCTTTAAACATCATTTGGAGTCATACTGTGTCTGTACCAGCTCCCACTACTGCAGCACTATGATGAACCCAGGTAGGAAAGCACAAACTGGATCATGGGAAAATAACCTTTTTATGTTGCTCCATTAAAGATGCCTGCAATACGCTGCTGAGGAGGTACAGGGCCAGAAACAAGTCCTAGTCTTTCTCATTTTCCTGACTTGAGTGACAGAACCAAAACGAACCCCACACATTTGCCTACACCACATTATGTGAAGAATTTATAAATATTAGGGCAGAGCTTGACAAATTTTCTTTTATTTCAGAAGCCAGCTAAATAAAGTTAGGAGCCAGGTTTTTTTTTTCTTTTCCGCAAGGGCGTTTCACGGGGGACTTTTCCTTTTTTTGGTACTTTTAATTTTATTTTTTACACTTTTTTAAATATTATTTCTCATTGGAGATGACAGGTTCTCCTTAAGGTGACATTAGAAGTCTATTAGACCCCTAGTGTCACCTTTCCACTTCAATAGCTTTAGCTGGGGAGTGACAGCTACCTGCTGAGACAGCTGAATGTAAACACAGCCAGCAGTGGCTGGGAGCAATAGCCAGCCTGATATTGGCTATTTCAAATTGCAATAGCAGGCTGGCTATTGCACCCACCCACTGCCTCCTGTCAATCAGCAGAGCAGGGACCTGAAGGAGAACATTTTCCTTCAGGTCCTATACTGCTGTTTGACAGCAGGCAGTGGGCGGGTGCAATAGCCAGCCTGCTATTGGCTACTGCAATTTAAAATAGCCAACAGCAGGCTGGCTATTGTTGCTGGATTGAAGAATTATCGTGGCCAGCAGCAAGGAGGGCAGCGGGCGAGAGCCAGCGAGCGGATGGCACAGGGGGAACTGAACCTCTGTTTCTTCTCCCACCGCATTAAAAACTCTGCCTTCTCCTCCCTGCTGCAGGCTCGCAGACTGTCAGTGGTCTCAGAACGCCGACAGTCTGAGTCTGCAGAGAGGAGGAGAAGGCAGGGTTATTGCGGCGGCAGGAGAAGGACTGGAGGCGCTGTGAGCGGGCTGATAAAAGCCCAGACGCAATTTCTAGTCTCATTCGTCGAGCCCTGTATTATGGCTACAACTTGCTGCCCAAAAGGACAACCACAAGGTGAGATCCAATACCTTAATACCCAGAAATCTAGTGCCATTTAATAAGAAACAGGTTTGTTTAAACAGGAAAAGAAAAAAAAAAAGATGAATTAAGGTGCAATTAGTTAAAGCAATGCTTTATGTGCGAGTAATCAAGTTTCAGAGATTTTTGGCTTGAACACATCATTAACCTTCTCTCTGGCAGACGTACAACAGTGTGAAATACGGGGTTATAAAGACTGTGGGTGAATGCACTGCTGCCTGATTATTCCAACCATTTCTTATACAATTAACAAGAGAATGCCTTCAATGTCTAATATCCCCAGTAATATAGACATTCTAGTTACTATTATGCAGAAAAGTTTCTCATTTCATTCACACTTGTATACGTATTATGTCTATAAGGGGAGCCATCATAAGGCAAGTGTTTTGAATCTTATTAGCACTTGTAAAATGTGCTTCTGGGTGCACCTCCATAGACCAGCCTTTCTTATTCTTTTCACCATGGAGGAACCCGTGCTAAAAATAAATAATCATATTTTTTTTTTTTACACCCTCCTGCTTTGAACAATATTTTTAGTAATAATCATGAAATTAAATGAATAATAACAGCAAAAGAAATGCTGTCAGTAACAACCGTGGTGTCCCCTCACGTCAGTGTGGTCAGTGTAGAAGTGTCCCTTAGCATCTGTGGTCAGTGTTGGTATTAGGTCAATTCGCCATTACTTAAAGTGACACTAAACTTAGAAGTTACATCTTAAAAATACATTCAAGTACCTTCACTATTGACATAAATGTATCTTATTTGTGTATCACTCAGCTGAAGATCCTCAAATCATCTCTGAATTTGTGCTGACACTGTCCTTCCTTCTGGAGGGTGGCTACTTTTGTTCCCCATGGTCCCTGTGTGTGTTGTAAAGTAGTCACCACTCCAAACTCACTCCTGTGATGGTCTACAATCTCATGTTTAATTTACTAACTTGTATTGAGATTGTAGTCCATCACAGGAGTGAGCTTGGAGCAGTGGCTACTTTACAACACACACACAAAAGTAGCCCCCCTCTAGAAGGAAGGACAGTGTCGGCACCAATTCAGAGATGATTTGAGGATCTTCAGCCGAATGATTCACAAATAAGATACATTTCTAATAATAGGCTACTTCAATGCAGGAACGTGCGGTCAGGGGAGGCAGGTGGGCAGAGCCTCACCTAGTATTATGGAGGAAAAAGCAGTCAGCTTCAAGTCTGAAGCGGACAGCTTTTTCTCCATTCAGATCGGCTTTGCGCCGATCTGCACCATTGGTCCAAGCTGTTCAATCATAAAAAAAAAGAAAAAAAAAAGAAACCAGTGAGGCCATCAATCTCGATGCCTCCGCAGTGATGAGCAAGTGAGGGACAAGGAGGCTCCTCCCTCTATTACGCTAACCGAGCCTTTGTTGGGATGGGACGGGGCTTCAATTGGATGGGGCGGGGCTGGGGAATGCCTCATCAAGAAGCGAAGGTATAGTACATGACTGCTTGAATGTATTTTTAAGATCTAATTCCTGAGTTTAGGGTCACTTTAACGAACCCTTAGCAAGCTCAGGAAGAACCCTTGTTGGAAAGGCAGCCATAGTCCACGATGTGAGGGAATAATGTTTTAATACGTTAGGGAAGTACCACTAAGCACGGGTCAATTAAAGTAAGAGCAAGTGTGACATTTTCATAACGATCATTATTGGTTATTTTTTTAAACTGTAAATCATGTTTTCAATTCCCTAAATGTTTTATCAGGTGGATCAGTCAAATTTACTGCACGCACATTACATTATTGATTTTTGTAGCATTGTGTATGAAAAAAACAATTCACACAAGATTATTGCTCTTTAAAATACTCAGGGCTGGCATTAAGAGTCCCCTCACACACATGTGCATGTTGCTTTAAGGAAGTCCATTCATTATAAATAGTACCACAAAGCAGAGCTCTAGGATGTATTCAAATTAACCCTTGCAGTTGGCTATCCCCACACTGCCAGGGTTAAATGATTGTTTTGGTCCAGGGATAAAAATAAAAAAAATATGCTCACCTAATCCTTGGTCTCCGCAGCCTCTTTTTCCCAGGGCTCCGTCAGTCTAAGGACCCATGACGTCATCACATCTAGTTCAGATCCATTAGACGCGAGGACGCTTAGGGACCAACCACATTTGGGGCAGAGGGGGAGAGCGGCAAGCGGTCACTCCTGTAGGACCAAGGATCAGGTGAGTACATCTTCTTTATTTTTTCTCCGAGGCCAAATTGAGCACTCAAGCCCTCCAGTGCGGCGTTAGCCCCGCTGCAAAGGTTAATTTAAAGAAAACCTGGAGTTTTTCTTTAACCTCTCCGCGTCCACTGACGTACAAAGGCAGCGGGCCTGTTTAAACAGACTCCCAGTGGCTGACTCTTTACATTTGTAAAGCCAGTGATTCTGGCAGCTCAGAATCCACCCCCCCCCCCCCCCCCCTACTTTCCCTGGTCCCCGCGCACTACAACTTGCTGCCCAAAAGGACAACCACAAGGTGAGATCCAATACCTTAATACCCAGAAATCTAGTGCCATTTAATAAGAAACAGGTTTGTTTAAACAGGAAAAGAAAAAAAAAAAGATGAATTAAGGTGCAATTAGTTAAAGCAATGCTTTATGTGCGAGTAATCAAGTTTCAGAGATTTTTGGCTTGAACACATCATTAACCTTCTCTCTGGCAGACGTACAACAGTGTGAAATACGGGGTTATAAAGACTGTGGGTGAATGCACTGCTGCCTGATTATTCCAACCATTTCTTATACAATTAACAAGAGAATGCCTTCAATGTCTAATATCCCCAGTAATATAGACATTCTAGTTACTATTATGCAGAAAAGTTTCTCATTTCATTCACACTTGTATACGTATTATGTCTATAAGGGGAGCCATCATAAGGCAAGTGTTTTGAATCTTATTAGCACTTGTAAAATGTGCTTCTGGGTGCACCTCCATAGACCAGCCTTTCTTATTCTTTTCACCATGGAGGAACCCGTGCTAAAAATAAATAATCATATTTTTTTTTTTTACACCCTCCTGCTTTGAACAATATTTTTAGTAATAATCATGAAATTAAATGAATAATAACAGCAAAAGAAATGCTGTCAGTAACAACCGTGGTGTCCCCTCACGTCAGTGTGGTCAGTGTAGAAGTGTCCCTTAGCATCTGTGGTCAGTGTTGGTATTAGGTCAATTCGCCATTACTTAAAGTGACACTAAACTTAGAAGTTACATCTTAAAAATACATTCAAGTACCTTCACTATTGACATAAATGTATCTTATTTGTGTATCACTCAGCTGAAGATCCTCAAATCATCTCTGAATTTGTGCTGACACTGTCCTTCCTTCTGGAGGGTGGCTACTTTTGTTCCCCATGGTCCCTGTGTGTGTTGTAAAGTAGTCACCACTCCAAACTCACTCCTGTGATGGTCTACAATCTCATGTTTAATTTACTAACTTGTATTGAGATTGTAGTCCATCACAGGAGTGAGCTTGGAGCAGTGGCTACTTTACAACACACACACAAAAGTAGCCCCCCTCTAGAAGGAAGGACAGTGTCGGCACCAATTCAGAGATGATTTGAGGATCTTCAGCCGAATGATTCACAAATAAGATACATTTCTAATAATAGGCTACTTCAATGCAGGAACGTGCGGTCAGGGGAGGCAGGTGGGCAGAGCCTCACCTAGTATTATGGAGGAAAAAGCAGTCAGCTTCAAGTCTGAAGCGGACAGCTTTTTCTCCATTCAGATCGGCTTTGCGCCGATCTGCACCATTGGTCCAAGCTGTTCAATCATAAAAAAAAAGAAAAAAAAAAGAAACCAGTGAGGCCATCAATCTCGATGCCTCCGCAGTGATGAGCAAGTGAGGGACAAGGAGGCTCCTCCCTCTATTACGCTAACCGAGCCTTTGTTGGGATGGGACGGGGCTTCAATTGGATGGGGCGGGGCTGGGGAATGCCTCATCAAGAAGCGAAGGTATAGTACATGACTGCTTGAATGTATTTTTAAGATCTAATTCCTGAGTTTAGGGTCACTTTAACGAACCCTTAGCAAGCTCAGGAAGAACCCTTGTTGGAAAGGCAGCCATAGTCCACGATGTGAGGGAATAATGTTTTAATACGTTAGGGAAGTACCACTAAGCACGGGTCAATTAAAGTAAGAGCAAGTGTGACATTTTCATAACGTTCATTATTGGTTATTTTTTTAAACTGTAAATCATGTTTTCAATTCCCTAAATGTTTTATCAGGTGGATCAGTCAAATTTACTGCACGCACATTACATTATTGATTTTTGTAGCATTGTGTATGAAAAAAACAATTCACACAAGATTATTGCTCTTTAAAATACTCAGGGCTGCCATTAAGAGTCCCCTCACACACATGTGCATGTTGCTTTAAGGTAGTCCATTCATTATAAATAGTACGACAAAGCAGAGCTCTAGGATGTATTCAAATTAACCCTTGCAGTTGGCTATCCCCACACTGCCAGGGTTAAATGATTGTTTTGGTCCAGGGATAAAAATAAAAAAAATATGCTCACCTAATCCTTGGTCTCCGCAGCCTCTTTTTCCCAGGGCTCCGTCAGTCTAAGGACCCATGACGTCATCACATCTAGTTCAGATCCATTAGACGCGAGGACGCTTAGGGACCAACCACATTTGGGGCAGAGGGGGAGAGCGGCAAGCGGTCACTCCTGTAGGACCAAGGATCAGGTGAGTACATCTTCTTTATTTTTTCTCCGAGGCCAAATTGAGCACTCAAGCCCTCCAGTGCGGCGTTAGCCCCGCTGCAAAGGTTAATTTAAAGAAAACCTGGAGTTTTTCTTTAACCTCTCCGCGTCCACTGACGTACAAAGGCAGCGGGCCTGTTTAAACAGACTCCCAGTGGCTGACTCTTTACATTTGTAAAGCCAGTGAAACCCCCCCCCCCCCCATTCATTTTCCGGGCTACGCTGCCCCTCCTGCGGGCTCGTAAACCTGAACATCAGGTGCCTGGCAGGAAGCTGGGGAGGACAGAGGGGCATACTTCCGTTCACTGATCTCCTCCCCGCTCTATGGGACCGGGAGAGACGAGTATTGCATCACATCCGGTCCCATAGCTGTCATTGCCAGGCTCCTGAAGCCGAGCAATAAGCTATTGAAGTGCGATCTGCACACCTTATCAGGCAGGACAGGAAGTGAGGGGAAAGCAGTAAAAACATGACCTCCTACACACCCTATCCAAAATGAAAAACAAATGGCTCTACATACACTTTAGTTTCATAACAGGTTCCCTTTAGTAAAGAATATACCCAAAGAACCATTGCCTCCTTGTGAGGCTACGACTTTTTCCTTTGTAAAAGTTTTGCAGAAAGAAGAAAAGTTTCTGAACATACCTTGCTATGCCGGCGCTCGCTGTCCTCCTCCTCTTCATACTCTTTAAACTCCCAAGACCCTTCTGTTGAGTTCAGACACAGCTTGGGGATTTTGATTTTCCTCTGCAGTACGCACTTTTCCAGATCAGTTTTGTTTTCTGAAAAAAATGGAAAGCACATTAAACAGATTAGACTTGGCTTCTCTTGAAGATCAAAATGGGCTTTGTGCTGCAAACATTAAGACGATGCAGCTTCTAGAAGGTGAATATTTTTCCCAGACTTCTGCAGACTATTTTATGTTCCTACAATGCACACAGAACAAAGGACAATGTGCATCTCGCTGCATATGATTTCAGGATTCATGTATTCCAAAAACTTATTTTTCCTGCATATATTTTCTCTGACTCAGAACTTCCAAAATAGCAAAATAATAAGTCTGTGCTATGCCTTCACTTTCAAAATATCCAATGAATGTCCAAATGGATTTCTGTGTGTATGTAAGAGCCCATACACACAGAGAATGTTGTCAAGATGAAGCGGTATGTGCACACTGGAAAACTGGGGTAGGTTTCCCTATACACCAGTCAGCATGGCGGCTCCTCCGGTGTGCTCAATGCTGATCACTTTGACGATACATTCCTGTTAAGGTCCCCACACACCTTACGATATTAGTACGATAATCGTGGGAAATCCGGCGATCGTACGATTATCGTAAGGTGTGTGGAAGCCGTGCGACCTCTACTACTGTAAGGTCGCACGACTTTAAACTTACGAACATGTTTGAAAACCCGCCGAGCATCGTACGATGTTCGGCGGGTGTGTAGCATGTTTGTAAGATAAAAGCCGGATGGGCCGGTGTGCGCAAGCGCACACTGCCCGTTCGGCCTTGCGATCATCGCAAGTACGATCTGCCTATGCAAGATGGGCAGATCGTACGTTTTTTTAAGTACCTTACAACCATCGCAAGACTAAAGTCTTGCGATGGTTGTAAGGTGTGTGCCCAGCCTTAGCCTTCGAGAAACGGCCAGCCCGTACTGCGTGCACGGCCGTATTGGGCCGCTCCCGGGAAGGACAGGTGCTAAATACTGGCCTGATATAATCTTAGACGTCTAGCTACATAACAGCCAGAATCCAACACAGTTACCTACATGTTATCATCTTTCTACTACTATGACAAAACACTCGCCTGGAACACAAGGCGTGTTATTAGTCAGGGTTACATTTGTGCTGTCTTAGCTTTCGTGGCCCTTTGAGAGATCCCTATTGCCTGCTTCACTTATGCCTGGAAACTGTGTTGTCCTGTGTGACTGCCTAATACTTGTTCTTCTTTATTAGATGTCAGCAATGAAAATCAGATCACAGCTGGGCTCCGGGGCACTCAAACTACCTTTGATGGTATGCTGCTTACAAGGTAAAATGTCTTCTTTCTTATATATCCAACTGCTCCTGATCAAAAAAAAAATACTAGTGGAGTAGGGATGCACCGATACTAGTATCAGTGCCGAGTATTTGGGCAAGTACTTGTACTCGCCCAAATGCTCCGATGTCTAGTCCGATACTTCCGTCACCTCATGACAAGGGAGCATGGAGCCGGCTTCCCAGCCAATCAGAAAGCCGGGGGCGCCGGCTTCCTGATTGGCCGGAAAGCCGGCTCCATGCTTTCTTGTCACCTAGTAACGAGAAACATGGGGACGGCTTACCTGTTAAGCGGGAAGCCGAGTGGCGAGTCTTCACACGCTGCCTGGATTCCTGAATGGGACTAACAGTATTGCTATTCGGGATCGGCGAGTAACGAGAACAAAAATATTGGTACTCATACCCAAATACCGGTATCGGTGCATCCCTAATTAAAACGAATGTAAGGCCTCGTTCACACCATATGCCGTGCGTTCCGGTCCGATTCTGGCCATAATGCACTGCCTCGCATAGCGGCCGGCTAACTTTTTTGCCGAGCAGGAGGGGGTGTGGCAGGCCATTGAAGTGAATAGCACCTTAGCCACGCCCTCCAGTCGCAATGCTATCGCCCGCACGCACTATTTTGATCGCACCGCACTGCAGGCACAATGTGCCTTGCAATCCCGTGCGGGCGATCGCATTGCGGCCAGAGGGCGTGGCTACGGTGCCATTCACTTCAATGGCCCGCCACGCCCCCTCCAGCCCGGAAAAAAAAGTGAGCCGAGCGCCATTTGAGGCAGTGCGTTCCAGCCAGAATCGGACCGGAACGCACGGGCATATGGTGTGAACGAAGCCTAAATCCAAAATATTTGTTTTCAGTCTGTTTGCCGTCATCCCTCACTGTATACAGTTTTTTTGGGGGGGGTTTTGAGAAGCTGTTGCAACGTTTCCTGCCAGTAATTGCATTTCCTGTTGCAGACTGACAACACTAAGGGCCTGTTCACACGACGTCCGTTTTGTGTGCTGACCAGCTCCGTACGCTGCTGCACTCAAAATGCATCCCAATGTATCCCTATGTGTTTTATGGGCTCCAGTTCTCACGTGCGCAGTCCGTTCAGCTTACGACAGAAAAAATACTGCATGTCACATTTTGTCCGGTCCGGAAACGCAAACAAAACGCAAACAAAACGCATAAAAACGCATAAAAAAACGCACTGGACTGCAGCTAACATACTAACAGCCCCACTCCAGCGCAAAAAAAAAATTTTTTTTTTTTTTTTTTTACTTGAACGCATCAAAAACGCACGGCATCAGTCTGCAGATCCGCACCTGATCAGGACCTGATATCATGTGAACAGGCCTTAAGGCCTTGTTCACACCAAGCGCGTTCCAGGTGCAGAGCAGTTACAGACCCGATCAAAACTACGTCCAATGTATTCCAATGCTATTTTGGGCTCCAGTTCACACCGCAGCGTTCAGTTCCAGAGTATGTAAAAAAAAAAACTGCAGCAAGCCCTATTTTTCCTGCTCTGAAACACAGGCAAACGCATAAAAAACACATGCAAACGCCCTGGAACGCACTGAAAGTCCATTTTAGGCTAAAAAAAAAAAAAACACACTGCACTGCGTGTGCAGAAACTCATGCAGATCTGGTCTGCATTTGGTGTGAACAAGCCCTAAGCCACAGACTCACAATTATCAGCCGCACTGTCACCCTCTCGTACACATTCCTTCAATTGGCCCTTAGCTAGACCTGAAAGCCAGCCCAATGGACAACAAGGAGTGTTCATGGCAGGGTGCAAAGCTGCTGCAAATTTCTAACGCAGTGGATAACCAATGTCAGCCTGCGACAGGAAGTGCTGTTACTGGCAGGATCTCCATGTAAGGAACTTTGCAACAGATTCACAAAAGAATTGCTTGAGAAAACTGCATACAAGAAGGCGTAATGCACGACATACTGAAAGATAGATTTGGGGTTTACATACACACTAAGCCTGGGCTGCCTGTTGCATTACTAATACTGAAATGAAGACCGCACTTATCCTTTACTTATTAATACCTAATATCATTATGAATGTATTACAAGCAATATCATTTTTGCTAATTAGTCATTATGGCCTGTACGATTGCACGGTTGGCTGCCTTGCAGACAAGCTGAAGTTGGATTGGAAAAAAATATTTTATTTTTCAAAAATGAGCCAAAATATTTCCTGTGAAGCCGTTTAAAACATACAATTGTCTTCTGCGTTTCTGTTCCAGCGGTCACTGTCCTGACTTCATTCATGTTGGAAGATGTCTCACTGACCACATTTCCATCTGCATATCAATCTCACTTTGTTTTGTTAATAGGGATCTCTCCAAAGGGAACATGAAAGTTAGGGATGCACCGATACCACTTTTTTAAGACCGAGTACGAGTACCGATACTTTTGATCAAGTACTCGCAGATACCAATTACCGATACTTTTTCTTAAAGGGACAGGTCACATTTTTTCTAAAGCAATACAAACTAATGCTTTAAGGTCACTTTCTTAATATTATGATTCATGAGATGACGAGGGAGCATGACGCCGGCTTCCCGGCCAATCAGAATGCCGGGCGCTGCGTCATTACACTGCGCCCGGCTTCCAGATTTGCTAGCTTCCTGACCAATTTGGGAAGCCGGGCAGCTCGTCATTGCACGCTACCCGGCTTTCTGATTGGCCGGGAAGTCGGCTCCATGCTCTCTCATCACAAGTGACGAGAGAGCATGGAGCCGTTTCCTGGCCAATCAGGAAACCGGACAGCGTGTAATGATGCGCTGCCCGGCTTCCTAAAACAGGAAGTACTCGTGCTAGGTATCGGAGCATTTGGGCAAGTACGAGTACTCACCCAAATACTTGGTATCGGCACCGATACTAGTATCGGTGCATCCCTAATGAAAGTTACCACTGAATGTGACTGAGATCATTTCTAAGGTAGCCACAGTGCTAAAGTACAAATGGATCCTAAGGGCCCATTCACACCGGCGTTCTGGGATTCCTGCGGCAAGAAGCTACGGATTCTTACCGGGGGGAACCCTAGGTGTCCTGTTAAGATGCGACCACTGTACCCATTGAAATTTAAATGACAGGGTGACCGCAGCCGCAACTCTCAGGCTGGGTTCACACCATTTTCCGGACCAGATCTGGAACGCAGTGCATTGCAATTTTGCTGCGTTTGGAAATTAAAAAGAAAAAAATGTTTAGCTTTAAATGGTCTTACAGGTGCATTCCATGCGTTTTTGATGCGTTTCTATGCATTCCAGTGCGTTCCAGACCAGATAGTATGAGACATGCAGTATTTTTCGGGTCTGGAACGGACTGCGCTTGTGGGAACAGAGGCCAGAAATAGCATCGGGATAGATTAGGATGCATTTTGGGTCCGGAAACAGTCTGGTCTGGTGGTAATCTGGATGTGGTGTGAATGGGCCCTCAGCGGCCTCACATTATCTCACATAATACAATGACATCCGGTTTGGGATAGTTGATCGTTTCTGGATGCGAGATAACACGTGGAATGCCACTGAGAGATGCGGCCGCTGTCACCCTGTCATTTACTTCAATAGGTACAGCGGCTGCATCTGAACATGTACACCTGGGATTCCTGCTGCAAGGGGGTAAGGTATCCCTTAGACCACCAGGAAATATAAGGGACACCTTCCCCACTAGACCACCAGGAAATATAAGGGACACCTTCCCCACTAGACCACCAGGAAATATAAGGGACACCTTCCCCACTAGACCACCAGGGAATATAAGGGACACCTTACCCACTAGACCACCAGGGAATATAAGGGACACCTTCCCCACTAGACCACCAGGGAATATAAGGGACACCTTCCCCACTAGACCACCAGGGAATATAAGGGACACCTTCCCCACTAGACCACCAGGGAATATAAGGGACACCTTCCCCACTAGACCACCAGGGAATATAAGGGACACCTTCCCCACTAGACCACCAGGGAATATAAGGGACACCTTCCCCACTAGACCACCAGGGAATATAAGGGACACCTTCCCCACTAGACCACCAGGGAATATAAGGGACACCTTCCCCACTAGACCACCAGGGAATATAAGGGACACCTTCCCCACTAGACCACCAGGGAATATAAGGGACACCTTCCCCACTAGACCACCAGGGAATATAAGGGACACCTTCCCCACTAGACCACCAGGGAATATAAGGGACACCTTCCCCACTAGACCACCAGGGAATATAAGGGACACCTTCCCCACTAGACCACCAGGGAATATAAGGGACACCTTACCCACTAGACCACCAGGGAATATAAGGGACACCTTACCCACTAGACCACCAGGGAATATAAGGGACACCTTCCCCACTAGACCACCAGGGAATATAAGGGACACCTTCCCCACTAGACCACCAGGGAATATAAGGGACACCTTCCCCACTAGACCACCAGGGAATATAAGGGACACCTTCCCCACTAGACCACCAGGGAATATAAGGGACACCTTCCCCACTAGACCACCAGGGAATATAAGGGACACCTTCCCCGCCAGAGAGGCCTTAAACAGTGTTTACCATGTTTCGGGGTCCTTTGGGTGCCCAAGAAGAGTCTGGGGGCTCCAGTTAAGCCCCCTGCAGCAGATTTCCACTCCTTACTGTGTGAAAGGTTTAGCTGCAGACTCCAATGGTGAGATCTGTCCGCTGACTTCTGGCAGCCATGATGATGTCCAACAAGTGGACAGGCACTATGGGAGGGAGATCCCAATGCCAAAGACATATAATAGGTCATCGTGTCACACTGTCTACCCCAGGCTCCACCTACAACTAACATACCATTTCAAAGTGGACAGACACTTGAAATCTGTGCTGCCCTCCGGGGGAACCACCCCCACCTCCCGGGCTTTATTTAATCCCCCTCCCCATGTCACTCCTCACCTGCCAGGGCCAAGATGTGAGCCGGCTGCGCTCCGGCCTCCTCCTCGGGGCTCCGGTACACGGCATACACCTTCCTGTCATCGAAGTCCTGCGGGGAGCTGGGCTGGAAGCCCCGGACCCGGGCGGCGGGTAACGTGTCGCAGACGTTGTCCTCCAGGAAGCGGACTAGAGCGAACATGGTCCGCCGCCGGGGCCCGGGATTCGGCGATCGGCAGGACGCGGCTGCCTTGGC